TTCCAAGTGTGTGAGCACAGAGCCCTCAGCCCTCACCCACACTGGAAGTGCTGGAGCATCTCTCCTCCCTCTCTCCCTCCTCCTCTGGCCCCACACAGACTCCACCAGCAGCTGAGCAGGGCCCAGAGGTGAAATCTGGCCTTCTGAACCTTCCCTGGTCTTCAGGTTAAACCAGCACCACCTTTACACAGAAAATGCATGTAAAGCCAAAGTGCCAAGCAAAGGTGAAGCATGGCTGGAGTGAAGGGGGCTCCCCATATGAAGTGTCTGAAACCCAAGGTTTGAGTGCTGCTGCCTAGAAATGGAAGACAGAAGTCACAGTGACATCGCTGGGTCAAATTAGTCTCTTTTCAGAACAGAGATGTTCTGAAGCCAACAAAGATTTCTTGAAAGTTACGTAAAAATGAATTAAAAGTGGATGTCCAAATCTCTTAGACTGCTGAAAAAATTCCAGCTAGGGATATCCAGCAAGTCTGGAGGGTCCTTCATACTTCACTGAAGTCTAAAAGTTTGAGTTCATCCCCAAAGGGAGCTGAGGCCACACAGCACTTCACCCACGGGCCCTCTGTGAACAGAGTCTTTCTTGTGGTCAGAGGGGCTATCTTGAATTTATGTCTTACTTCTCCCCTTGTGAGCAAACAAAACAATTTCTATGAGTAATTCTACCCACTAATTGCCAAGGAAAAGTCTGGTAAGAAATGCTCTGCATTTTTGACAGGTCAGAGGCTTCCCTAAACAAAGTTGCTGTTTTATGTTTTCTATCTGCACATGTTCACATCCGGGGTCCTCGGTGAATTCCAGCGTGGATGAGTCTCTGTGGGAAATTGCTTTTCCCTATTTTCTTGTTCTAACTGCTCCAGGAAATGAGTCTATTTTTACAACAACACTAAACAGCAAAATATGAAACCATTATCTGCTTCGTGGCAAGAGTTTCGGGTCAGTTCTCAGGTAAGTGTCACCTCCAGAGAAGTCAATGGAGTTGTATCTGCTCCTGCAAGGCAGAGACCTGACCAATTATGTAATTGGTTGATCAGTTACCAGAGCACAGAGCTACCACAGGCCTAAGGAGTGTCTTGTTTTCATGCGTCTCAAAGTTCATCCAAGCCCTGATGCATTGATAAGTGAAGTATTCTAGTATTATGGTCTGTAAAGATGATAATTAACTGCTGAAAGATTTAAGCATGGGCCTTCTCTACGAACACATACTTTGTCACTGAATGATCCTTATAAGTAGTATCTCTTCTGGATCCTTTTTTCACCTGCCAAATAAACCAGGGTGGGATTTTCAGAAGTGTTTAAAGTGCTTTTCTCCTACTTATTTGTGATTGCTTTCAAGAATGAAGACGTTTTCAAAATCCCTGGGGATTTCAAGCCCTATAGGCTCGACTGCATCCCTGTGTGCTTCTGCTTTTTGCACACCTGATTTAACAGCTACTCTGAATTCAAAGCTGGACAGTAAACCCAGTTTCCTTCATTACCAAGATCAAAGATAGTACACAGAGGTCCAAACACCAAGTCTGATCTGAAGATGAGTGTGAACACTTGTTACAAACTTGGCTCCTTATTTACAGGTGTCAGGGACTACTCCAGCCTTCACATGTGAACTTCTTTTCGGATGAAGCACTCATGTGTGCCTTTTTTGTGTATTTTATCTAAGAACTTGGGAGACATCTGGCATACACAAGTATCAGTCCAAACAGAAATTCTTGAGCTTCTCAAAACTCAAACCAAGTCGGATTTGGTGGCCTGCTAGTAAGTCAAATACATAAATGATCTGACTCCTCTCTACGGGAAGAAGTAACCTTGGAAAAATGTGAGATGAAATCTTCAAGCCACTGAAATTCTATCACCAGGATGCTCCCAGAATTTGATCCATTGATTATGAGCTAGACTAAGCGTTAGCACTTTCTTACCTTCAGGCTGGGAAAGAGGTACTCATGACTTTCCACCTAATTGGAAAGCTCACCAAATGTCACTCGAGACCAGCATACAGAAAACAAACTTAGAGACAATATCTAAGGAAAACAGAACCTAACCTATGACTTGTTCTTTGATTTACAACTGTGATTGTGGGCCCCACCTCACAGTCATATGCCATGGTAATAGGCAGCAGTTCAACAAGAAGTAGTCCTAACTTTTCACATGTTGCAGTGATTCTGAGCTGCTTCAGCACATACTTTAGCCTGATGCAGCAAGTAATTAGAATGACTAAAAGGACAGGTGGCATGCCACAACTGAAAAAAAGAGTGATCAAGCCTTTGGTCTTGTTTATTCTACCTTTCTAGTTCTTTTTTTTTTTCTTTTAAACAAAAAGTTGCCAGATTTCACCTGAAATCTGCTCTCAATAATTTCTCCCATCTCAAATTTGTCTGTTATCAGCACAACTGTGAGCGTTCAAACTATATCCTGAGGTACCCAAACAGGTCATCTGAAATGGGCTCACTGGCATTAGTGACTGCAGTCCTGAATCCACCCATGCCAAGAAAATATTTTCCCCAAAAATAACAAATACGTAATTCAAAATGGCAACCTCCATGGGAGCAGGAGTGGCACATCCCAGCTGTTTTCCTAATTGTACATACAAGCTTTGTTACTTCATCTTGGGGCTGCTTACGAAATACTTCAACACTCTGAGAGCACAAAGACCCCCAGCCCACAACTGGGATCCTGTGTCAGGAAGGCACACAGTAATTAAAAAATAAAGCATCAACTCTGCTCCATTTGCCTGAGGTCAATGGGATGTTTGTCCAAACCTAGGAGCATGCTCAGGCACCAGTTTGAAGATGAGCAAACACAGGCATCTCTTAAAGTGTTTTTCCATGTTAGGGCCTGGGAAAAAAAATTCAGATTGAGCCCATGATAAAAACAGTTCCCCATGGAAAAGTTACCCACACCATAAAAGGAAGGAATGACACTGAACTGAAGGAGAATGAAAATTGTCTACTGAATTTTTGTAAATTCCCATAAAATCTAAGTCTTGTTCTATGTGCATAATTTTGACCATAAGTCGTGAAAGGCTGACTCCTAAGAGAAGCAGGAAATGACTGGCTCATGGTAGGATAAAAGGCTGCATAATTGCATGGGCAGAAAGATGGATTTTCATCAATCACTACATTCTCTGACAATATGGCAGTGGCTTTTGATCACGTATCCAATGCACAGTAATTAGGCAAAATGACTTACCCTCAATCTTTTCAGTATTTAGCTCTAAGGGTGCAAGGATTCATTCTTGGAAAGGGAAGATGGTCGTGTGATTTAGGGCACTGGATGAGCACTCAGATCTGAGTCCTCTCCCTGGTTCTGCCACAGCCTTGCTGTATGACCTTGCACAGGCTTTTCTCCATGCCTCGGTCTCGCCTAAAATGGGATAACAATAGTTCTTTATTTCAGAGGACATAGGGATACAAACCAGCTCAAGGCTGTGCCACAGAGATTCTACAGCAAAGAGCAGCACAGAAAAGCTCAGACATGGAATAATGCTTTACTAATAAAATGTGGGAACACAGACAGTAATTAAATTGAGTAATAAACACAAAACATAGGCTGATTTTTGAGGAATGCAACACTGATAGGCTTTGTACCTGGAATTAAAGGAAATTTAAACAGGATTCATATGAGTTGACCTGACTCTGAGATTTGCTAGCAGTACAAACTCTGTATTAGAAACACCAAGGAAATTACTTCATTCAAAACCTCTACATGATGTCGGTTTCAGAGCAACCATGATTTCCAGCCCAAGAGAGGGTCAGATAACTACCCAGAACATTTTCAAAGCCATGAGAGGGGCCTACAAACATGATTTCCTTCAATTTACAGTAAAATATGAGCATGCAAATCTGAGGTAGTTTTGAAACTTCAAAATAAAATCTGAAACAGTCAAATTAAAACATAAATGGGGCCACTGATCCTAATTAAAGTGTCAGATGTCTGGAACAGCTTCAATGCCACTATTCCAGCATCACACTGCTGCTGGAATTGGACAGCGCTTTAGCAAAGAGTCTTCAGTAGTATTTTTCCAAATGCAAAGATGAATCTTTTTCTCTAAAGCATTTGCCTTTCATGTCAGGGGTCAGTGATGGGCCTGTGGGTCTGGGAGAGAGGATCTCAGGGCACATGCCTAGATAAACCAACTGATTTGGAGACCACCAGATCAAAGGATGTTCTGTCAGGCAGGAGGAGAGAAAACAGATATGAGACACATCTTAGGAAGGGAAAATTATTTCTGAGAGACAGAAACAAGAGGGATGGAAAAGTCAGGCAGAGAATGGCTGGAAAACAGCCCACAGAAAGGCAATATGGACCTAAGGAGGACAGGCAAGTGGAATGTTGAAGCCCATTGGAAGGAGGATGCTGTTTCAAGAAGGAGTAAAAAGCCTAAACCCAAAGTGCTGGAGCTACCTGGGAACCTGGGAGAGCAGCAACTGGCTGCAGTCTGCTTAACAAAGCAGATGCCAGGCAGGACAGAGAACAGGAGAAAAGGAAAGCCAACTGGCACACAATCCCTGGTTTCACTCAACAAAATCAACTGAAGGATAGGTCTGGAAAGACGAAGCACTGAATTAAATGTAATGAATTGACTAAAGAATCAGTGCACTGACATGGGCAGTCCTCTCTGTATGTCCTTTCTGATCAGACAAGACCTCAGAAAAAGACATCATCAGACCAAGAAGTTGTGGATCTCTGGACAGAGAAAATGAGTGCAGAATGTAAAACAGAAAAACATTTTATCCCCAAACTGCTGCCTACAATGTGGAAGGACAAAACCAACAAGGTGTTAAAGCATTGCACAGAAGTGCAACTTTTGACAACCACCACCCTTGGCTCCATTAAGCCCCCTACTCACCCCCCACCCCACAAATCACAGAGCTGTCCATCACATATCTTGTGGCTTCAATTGCTCACACCTTTCCCTGCAACACTCCAAATGCAGCACATTAGAAGTCCAGAGGGAGTCCACCTCCAGCAGACAGCAGAAGAAGATATGACACGGCATTCACGAATGCACAGAGAACTGTTTAATTTACAGCCACAATGGTGAAACAAACCATTTCAGAGCTTGGACATTCAAAGTTAAGTCTGACACTCATTCTTATATTCACTTATTGTGCTTAAGTATTAGAGAACACAGGATTACATTAACCATACACAACAATCTGAGATCCCTGTGGGACCGAGGAGTGGAAGGGATGAGCAAGAATGAGGGACCAGCCCCTCAAGTGGTGTAAGCTGGTACAGCTCCATTGCAGGCAAGGGAGCCATGGTGATTTACACCAGCTGAGGATATGGCCCTTGAAATGTCCAACTTAACTTTGAATTAACGACTCCCATGTCACAACCTTTAGTGTCACTGTTCCTTCTGGTTGTATCTGCCACTTTGAAGGAGGACTAATCCCACAACCCGCCACGGTCCCCCAGGCTGGCGGGCGAGAGCTCAGCTGGACTACAGGAAGTGATGCTCGTGTCGTGACACTACTCCTCACAATTTAACAGCCATGGACTGCATCCTCATCTGATGTAAATTAGCTTGGGGCCATCTGAAGTCAGAAACATTTGCCAATTTATAGTAGCTGAGAACATAGCCCTGAGATTTTTGTGTTTTCTGCCGCATGCCGTATGAACACTGTGCTTGACAACAAAGACTCATTCCTCGTAACAAAATTAACTCAAGACTACAAGTCTCAAACAAACGGCTATTGGAAAAGTCCCCATTCAGTCTTCACTCTCTCCTGGTGTGCTGAATTTGGCATAACACGTTTATTTGCTGGCACCAAGAAAACCTCTCGGTTTGCTTTGTCTTCAAGGCTTTGCTACAAGGCCAGACTCCCTCGTGATGTAAATCAGAGCTCCAGGATACCCAAGGGAGTCACTCCCAAAGAGCTGGCCCACAAACCCAAACACAACCTTCTCATGCAAGTCCAACCACAGGACTCTTTCCAAGAGTTGTTTTGCAAACTATTCCACTTAAGTGACTTTGACATCCTTTCATACCTGCACAGTGTCTGAGTGGGTCACATAATGCTTTTCATCTACATGATTTTAATGGATATATGTTTGGTTTTTTCTTTCATTAGATATCTTTTAGACAAAAAAAAAAAAAGGAACGAAGCAACATTATTGGCATCCCACTGAAACATAAATATATAAATTACATTTTATACACTTTTTTAAACGCAGACACATACATTCATGTGCATAACATCGTGAACAGTACACTTAGTGGAAAACAAGCACAGACAATCTTAGTTAAATGTATTTCCAGTTTTGGTGCTCAACAAATACACTGGGAAAATGATCACAAAATAGAACGGTGACTAACTCTATCTCTGCATTAGCATCTGAAGCCAATAATGCCTGTTAGCTAACATTGCTTTGTTTGGTTGAATTTGGACATAGCTACAGGAACAGGAGGGGAATGTTTGAACTATATTTAGAGAAATGGAAAGGTTAAAAATCTCTCTCTCTTTTGTTGTTTGAAGGTTCTGCAGTTCATTCATATTTGAAGATATTTTTATTTGAGTGGAAACACTGTCTTCAAGACAAACTTTTTTGTTGTTCCAAACTAAGAAAACTCTTTCATCTCTTTGTAGATGTTTCACAAATAAAAGAATCCAGTAGTTCATTTTACATATCCAATGTAATAATCCAAATAAAACAAAGGGTACATAATCCAAACTACTGGGGTGGGGCAGTGAATTTGGCCAAGTGAGTAGCCATGTCATATCTGGCACAGCCCTAAATTTCCAAAGCAGTACAGAAGGATTTATCCATGTGGCTCCCACTGCAATCTGTGGGGAACTGAACATTTAATCCTTTGGCACTTTGAAAATAAAGGAGATGGTGCCAGAGTATTTTATCTGCCCTGCTATAGTTAAAATAGATTTTGATGTTATTTGGGCTATTCTACTACAAAAATATGACCACAAAATGCTTTTTTTTTCTTTTTTTCTTCTTTTTTTTTTTTTTTTTGGTTCAAGAAAACATAGCAGGCTTTCTCAGGTATATAAAACTGTTAATTTTTAGATAAAAATACAAACTTCACCTTTACAAAAACACATATTTCTGTTGAATACACATAAAGCATAACATTTTACCAAAAATAAAGAATTTTAGATTTTGTTCAAATATTTGCAGCAAGGTAGTTCCCATGCCACCATGACATTATACAATGCAGATACAAGAATTTGTACATTTCACACAGCTCCAACATGTGAAATAAAAGTATCTGTATACTGATAAGAATGACAATTGCTAACACAATATCACTAGTAGGCAACTGGCATAAGTCTTAAAGAAAAAAAAAGGATTTTTGCATGGATATCCTATGATTTGTTTACGCACATCTCTCTTTTTTTTTCTCTTTTTATTTTTTTTTCTTTTATGTAATGCTTTAAATTACGGGGGAGGTTGGGGAACATAAACCAAGAAACGTCTAGAAAATTATGCATAGGTATACCATTTTTATTTTAATACATCTCATTAGTCTGCATCCCACTAGGAGAAATACCATAATGTTTTGTGTTCTGCTTATTGTTATACCAGTCTTTTATATGTGTTATTGGCAAATGTAGTCCAAGAGATAATAAAAAGCTAGGCAAAGAGTAAAAAGAAAACTTAATAATCACTTTATGGTGTAAAAAAAAAAATCCACTTAAGGCTCCCCAGAAGGTTTTTTTGTATAGACTTTTAAAACACCACCAAGCAAGGATGTATTGTTCTATAGTATTTGCGTGGCATTTGATCATTTCATACATTCCTGCTTTTTTTGTGCCTGAAGTCCACCAGTGTCCATCCATCTTCATCAAGAACGCAGGCACATTTCTTGACGTAAAGCACCGTTGACTGCTCTGACAGAAATCCACTATTCACTTAGATTTTTGTCATGTTTTTTAGTTCTTTTGGTATCCTCCATTCATTCAACTGTCTTTTTTTCTTTTCTGTTTTTCTTTCTTTCGTTTTTTTTTTCTTTTTTGGACAGGGAAGCTTCCTATTGTTTCACAGAGTGCTACAATACTTGCTTTGATGTCACATTAAACAAATGTACATTGTCTCTTTGTTCTCATTAAGTGTTCTTTTGAGCCAGTTTTTTCACACAGGAGAACAAATAAAGTATACAGTCAATAAGCACCATACATAGTAGGTTCAGGAATGTAACAAACCATGTACATCCATGTCCCAGAGAGAAGTTTTTTTTCTAGCTTATTTTCACCTTACATCTGCAGGAGAGAAAAAAGATACAATAACTCTATGATTAGAATCAAAGGTCCTGTCCTTGAAGTAGATGACTTAAAAAAGAAAACTGTTCTGCATGAAGAGTCACTAACCTGGGACAAGAAGTTCTAAATGCTGTTTTGATTGAGTTTACATGCTCACTTTTAAAGTTGAATTTTAGAAAATCTTTGCTTCTATCATACTACTCCCAATAAATACCTGTTAATCTGAAACAGGATATCAAGTTTAGCATTCTTCAGAAATGATACATTGGTATAAATGAAAAGTGCCACTGGGAGTTCATGTGCAAAAACAGGGGCTTGGAATTAAATTCACCATCATCCAGGCGTTAGGCACAGACACTGCAAAATCCAAATCATTCCCACTCCAAATACCAGAATCAATTGCAAGTGCTGCAGTTTACATACTTTCAAGTCATTAAGAAATGGAAATTCCATATTTAATTTGGAATGTGTGTCGCCATCATCATACATTGCTAATATGTTGGCCAAAGGATTTCAGTCATTTTTGCACTGAGAGGGTGTTAGTTTTTCACTACACTGAAAACCTCATGAATTTTGATGACTGACTATCATCATCCTACTGAGACTGAACAGACCAAAAATAAAAATCTTAATTTTCTGGTGTAAATAACACAGGACTCTGCAACACACACAAAAAAAGGCACTTCTTAGCATCTTTCTGGTCAAGTAAGCAGATCATCAGACTGTGTCAGGTGCATGTGCAATCAACCCCAGTTCACGTCAGAACATGGGTTTGATGGTCACACAAATAATAATATTTGCTGTATGTACACTGAATGTTTCACAGCCAAGGACTGGGAACACAATGATTTGTAACCTGGCAATTCATTCATGCATTATCATGTGATGCTTTGACCTCAGAAATCAATAATAATGAAACACAAGCAGAGGCAATGGAACTTGAGATTTCAGAAGCTGAAGTATTAGCACCCTCCAATAAAAAAGAAATAAAAAAGGCAAGAAAAGGAAGTAGCTCAAGAATGCAAGATGCTGATGGTGATGTGGAGCTTAAAGAGAAAATACCAGCAGGTAGAATTATCAAAGCCAATCAAATCTAATCTCTTTGCAGCCTTGAGGTAGCAAGTGTCAAGATTTTGAACAGTGATTAAGTTGAAGTGATGATATTTGATTAAGTTTTCCAGTACTTGTGCTATTAGGGTGTTCAGCATATAGGTCCTACCTGAATATCAAATAGTTCCAGTAGCTTTTATGTTGGTTTTAACTTTTTTCGTTTCCGTTTTTTACCTGATTCCCTAGGCCTTCCTGTTAACATAAGGGCAGGGCTGGTGAAAAGCCCTAAGGTAATGCATTTCGTGTAACACTGAAGTCATAAATACTCAAACCGTTTACATTTCCAAGAAATCTCATTATCCTTTGCATTAAAGTAATAACTTTATAACGTCTGATTTGACACTGAGTTTACAAAGTAATTACACAAAAGTAAAGAAATAATAAACGAAGTTGGCATTGCCCACGTCATTCCCAGGATCCATCTATAATTGCTGTTACCATGCAGTACTCAACATTTGCCTTCAGCTCTGGAGTTGAGCTATTTTCAGCTCACCATCCACTTGCTGGGTGCAAGTTTTGCTCCTATCAGTAATTAAATCCTAGAAATACCCATTTTTCCATGATAATTCTGCCCCAGTTTTTACACATATCAAAATCAAAAATTTTGATCTTAAAATCATAGCTGCTTAGTCTATGGCAATTAAAGACAATGTAAAAAACTGAAATTGATCTAGTGAAACTTTTTTTCCAAACGGGAGACATAGAAAATGTATAAAACCATACCCACATTTAAAAATAGCCACTTTATATATGGTTTTGTCTAATAACTCCACCTAGTTTCAGCTAAACACTCAGCTCTGATGATAAATTGATGTCCAGTAAAATTGCAGCAGAGGTCTAACTTTGCTTTTATAGAAATTCTAACTCCTCTGCTCTGTACATAGCAACTGAAGTTTACATTTGCTTGGACCAGGTTTATGTCTCCCTGCTGGATGGAGCCAGTACAGAAAACCCTTCCTCACCCAGCCACCTACAAAATCTATCACCTTTGGGCAGCCTTCCTCCTGTGTTTAGCTGCTCTTCACTGACTCTTTAATTTTGGGCTGGTTCTACTGCACCCCCTAAATTCCCTGCAGAGGTGCAAAACAAACTTTTATAGCAGCCTTCAACCAGTATCAGGAGAAAGGGAAATGTCCTTTTTACCATAATGGGTTTCCTGAATAAGTGTGCTGAGCTCTGCATTGATTGCACTGTAGTAAGTAGATCAGAGCCAATGATTTTAGATTAAATCAGAATGATTTTATGAAAGCCAGACTGAAAGTAATTTTTCCCCACAAATCTTTCCCTGTTGTAACTCAAAGGTTGTCTTGACAAGGCAAATTTAGGTTTTATCCCACAACTGACAAATTCTTGAGTATACATACGTAAGGAAACAACAGGAATGAGCAATGTTGTTTCCAAACTAACTCCTTAGCCCTGAATCCTGAATTTATTCCCAAGTGCTTTACATTAATTTCATTCATATTTTCCCCAAGGTCAAGTTAATCTCAGTGTTCTCCACAAAGTCTAAAGAAATTAGGCAACAGAGTTCATCCATGAGCTGCAACATGACAACCTTTAACTTAGTGAAGCAAGACCTGAACACTACTGGGCATTTGTATTTATTTAAAGGCCAACCTAATGAGAAGTGATACACATTAAATTTGAAATATAAGCTCTCCTCATACAGCACAAACTGGTCCTCATTTGGCATCTTCAACACAGAGAAGTAGCTGGGAGCTTCTCTACTCAGTTCACTGTAAGCAACGTTTGTTTTACGTTCTTTACTAATATAAAAATGAGGTCCATATGAAATCAGCATTAATGCAAAAATAAAAGGAAAACATACCAGTTTCTTCTTCTCTATAATCTGAATTAGTATTTGATGATGTACAGGTGCATTCCATATGCTCTTCTAATCTCACCAGAACTTCTTTTAATTTTGGCTTTTTTCTAACATACTCCACTTTTGCCACCTATAAAATACGATGAGGTATGTACTGAGACACATCAACATGGTTACAGTTCAGAACTGAAGACAGATAACTATATACCTCTATTTTTAATGTAGCCAAACCCATATAAAATGTTAGCATACTAATCATCTTTTATCTTAATTGTGCATCGTGTAACTATTTATTGCACAGACTATTTGTTTATTCAAGTTCAGTAGTTCGAAACAATTTTCCCCCAAGAGATAAAACAATTTCCCATTCATTTTGGTTTGATGTTTTAAGCAACTCAGTTTCCACATGTATCACAATAAACTTCTATACAGATTCAAATCAGTGGTTTTTCTTGTAAACTGCCACTTTTAGCACAATCTTCTGTAGGTGTTGTTAAAGGCATTAGAAGGCATTAGATTGGTTTGTAATACATTTTATCATTTACAAATTGGTGTCTCCAGAGCCCTCTGAATGTGAAGTGCTCAACCTTACATGACCAGGATCTGAAGATCACCTTAGAAAGCTGTTTCATTCCTACTCACCCCCTGCAATCACCTGGGGCTTGTTCACAAGAGCTCTCAAGCACAGTTTTTAAGTCCAAGGGAACTACCACTCCTGAACTGGGTCCAGCCTTTGGCTTTATTGTGGAAAGCTGGCAGACAGAATATTTCTCCCCACTCCTTCCAACTGTTCACAACTGCACTGTTCCACTTATGGCATCCTTAAAATAAAAATGTCTGGAGGGCAAGTTGAGGTTGGAGGAAGGATCATGCTGGAGCAGCTCTGGCTACATACAGACCTCTCATCTGAAGGAAACCAAGGCAGAACGGAAGGATGTTGGGGTGGGGGGATTCTGAATACAAGGACACCCTGACCCACAGGCTGGCAGCCAGGAGAGGAGGAATGGCAGAGAGGGCACTGATGTCCTGGGGTGCTGAAATGGCTTGTGGGATGCTGGGCACTGCCTTGTGCTAAGTGTAGTGGGCATGATGGTCAGGGCCATGCAAGGGAATATGGCCTAATGTGGGCAGGGAGATGCTAGAGAGCTTGTAAGGGGTCCAGTGTTTAGCTCTCAACTGTGTTGAACACTGCAGAATAGGTGGGGAGCATTTGCTTGCAATGGAAACCACTGCAATTAAATAATGGCTTCTCAGACCTACTCATCTGACAATGGGGCACAGCAGTGTGGCTGTCCCTGCAAACAAGAAGACTACAAATCACAGGGATGCTGTACAAATGAGGTGAGGGACAGGGGAGGCTGGTTGTCTTTACAGAAGTTACATGACAAAGCCATAAAGGCTGGTCCATCCAAAAGCTCCAGTCACTACCAAATAAAGCATCCCCAGTGACACTCCCAGACATGATTTCCTTGTGTGTTTGGTGGGGATTCAATGCCCCAAAACAATTTGCACACTGCGAAAATCATTCCCCTGCCCTTTCAAAACTGGAACAACAGTGTCACAAAATGAGAGTGATGGTTGGAAAAACCCATTCCATTCCCTGTTCCCAGAAAAACTCTTCTGGCGTTGGGGTCACAGCTATCAAGGGCCTCTGAATGCCAGTAAGAGAAGCTAGAGCAAAATCCTGGCCTTTCTAAAGCCAATGGGGGATCTGAGCTTTCACAGAGCAAGGAATTCAGATCCACATTTTAGTCACCACCCCTTGTGTCAACAGGATCTGGAGATGATTTTCATTTCATCCAGCAAACCAAAGTTACAGATACAGATGCAATAACTAAAGTGCCCACATTAAAAGGTATATTCTGAAACTGTCAGCTCTCCATGTAAACGGATTAAGAGCTGGCCATGACATACCAGAACACTTTATCTGAAAGACTGACTATGGGTTGAAACAGTTTCAAAATTTCCTATCAGAACCAACTCCATCAAGCCTTTGAACACAAAGATTGGAAAATGTATGGTACAACTGAATCATCTGGCGTCAAAGGATGACTAATCCTTAAAAATTATGAAAACAAACAGTAATTAAGACACCTCCATCATCAGAGACAAAGAAAGGGACCCAGTAATCACAAAACAGCTCTCAGATCTGCCATGCTTATTACAGCTGTTAGAATAAACCAGTTTCATTGAAAATTACACGCAACAAAAATAAACTGTAATCAAGCTTTTAAAAGCCTGTCCTTGTTTCACTTGGTTTTACAAACTGAAACATATATGCAGCTCCTGTGGCTATTTGGTATTAAACAACAGTTAAAAAACCAGAAACAGTAATACTTTGTGGAGGATCATAATGAATTTATGCAGCAATTTAAAGCTGGCTTTTAGTGTTGTAGTTAAAATACAATCCAGCACACGTTCCACTGCCCTACTTCACGCTACACAAGTTAAAGGAATTTCATTTTGTATGTGTTGCAAATACTGGAAGTGAAGCAGCACAAACCAGCTAAGCTGCTGTGTCTGTGTCACCTGTTAACACCTGCTGCCACACACAGTGCTGATCTACAACGATGAAGGCTGCAGGTCACATTTTCAGTGGGTATAAACAGGGCTAGCTGTGCCAACAGCATGGGATTTGGCCTTGTGCACAAATGATTTTTTCTTCTTTGTGTTTTTCTCCCTGGCATTCACATTGTACAGTTTCTCAGGTGTATTACACAGAACTTTGAGGTGGTCAGTCTTCAACAAATCAACAAGCTGCTTTTACTTGTCCTCTAATGTAGCAAAAATAAAAATCCTCAAGCCCTCCAGATCCAGAAAATGTCACTACATAAAAACTCTTTGAGAGCAAGACAGTGAAATAACTGATTAGCTTCTCAAATGCTATATAATCTACACTTGCATCAGTGTAGATTCTAGGTCTACATCCTGCAATGCAGTGTGTGGCTAGAAAATGAAAATACAATCTGATAAAAATATGCGGCCTAATAGAAACATCATGGGAATACTTTTTTAGAGATTCTCCAGGGGAGATGAAATCAGGGATTAATAGCAGGGGAAAAATCCAAGACTGTAAGCAGAAATGTCCAGAACACCTCCAGCATGAAGCTAAAATTTATCATGGGCAGGAGCTCACAAGAGAAGTGTCAGCACAGAAAATTCCTCATAACAGCAGAACTCATGTGCTGATATCTAAATACTGGATGGAAACAAGCCTAAAAAGCAACTGAATGAGGATACTTCTTGGAATCCTCTACTGCTTCCATACTAAAATAACTGTGTGCTAATACAAAGGAGGGAAAACCTGTCTGTGAGGAAGAGATGAGTCAAGTGGGACTAAAGGACTGGGGAGGCATCGGGAGCCTTCAGGACCTGGCAAGTCACTGCTGCAGGGACAGGAGGGCAGGAATGGCTCTGTGGGGTCTCTGTGTCCCTGAGCAGAGCAGCCAGACCCTGCCAGGCTGACAGGGCTTCCCATGCTCCAAGGGCACCTTGCTGCTTTTCCGCCTTCACCTCTGTCAGGGTTCCCTTTGTTTCTCCCATTCCTAAACTGACCTTTGATACCTGGTCCTGCCTGCAATTGCAGTTAAGCCACAGCTCAATCCAAGTGCTGCTTATCCCAATGGCAGAAGAAAAAGGTTATTGAACCTGCAAATGTGACATACAGCCATTTCACCTACACACCCCGTGTGTTCTGCAAGGCCTTTTCAACCCTCTCTGAGGCTGGGTAGCTCTGCTGAACAGCTCATCCTGAACTCCAGCATTTTTTTCTAACCTCTGAACAATTCCCCAGGGACAGCTGAGGAGCTGCTCCTGCATTCCCTCCTGTCCAGCTCCTTTTCTCTGCACCTCACCCTCACATTAATGTACTCTAAGAATATACCAGGTTAAGATTCCCCTGATCAGATCAACATCAAATATGCAGAAATGGCCAAAACTGGGAGGGCTTCTGCTCAAGGCCAACCTGAGGCAAAGCTGAGGGAGATGGAGTAATTTAGCTCTTATTTTTTAATTTGCATATGAGCCTTGCTGCGAAAAATCATATTGTTCAGCCTGGCTATTCAAAATTAGTAGTATAGCAGGATTTGCTCCGTAATATTAATGATTTTCTGCTTCTGTGACCAAACTCACCAAGAACAACACCATGCACAAAAAGCTTTTTGGGAAGACTCTTGTTCAGAACCTCCCAAATAAATTATGGTCTGGTGCTTGGTAAGTACTTGAACTCACTGTACAGAAGCAACAGGATCTGCAGATGTTACTGAAATGCTTTTGCACACAGAGGAGAAAATCTCTCTGTAACAGACACCAACACCCCTAACTCCCCCATCCTTGTCACCATTGCTCTATGAGGAGAGAAATAGAATCCTTTCCTTCCCATCAAATAGCAGCTCCCATCCAGCCTCTCCATCTCAGTCTGAGTTCTGCAGGGCTGTGCAGGTGCAGTTTGCTGAACAGAGATGTCTTTAGGGCCAGTGCTCTCATGGGCTCACTGTCACCACGCAGGGCAAACCCACCTTGCATTAATGAAATCCACCCTGTGAAAGGGAAACCTTACAAGACCCATTTCAGGGAAGCTGCTCTACCAACCCCCCTGGCTTAGAGTGTCTCTACAGCTCCAATTCCACATTAATGGTATTTCACTGATGAGAGCTCAGTGAAGATGAAGAAAGGACATCCCTGAACCCTCCAGCCTTTGAATCATGTCCCAGGAATGAAATGCCCCAACACAAGCACCTCCACTGCTCCTCCCACACTGCCCCAGCCGTCTCTTAACCTTGACTACAGTGGCCCTCAGTGAGACAAAGAAAACACCCTTTGCTTTGGCCTGTTGGATGATGCAAACCCACTTGCTGACCTTTCTGGATGAACATTTTTCTAGTGTGAATGGGCCAGCTATGATCTCACTACCTTGTCAATGAGGAGGAAGTGGGGAAAGCCTTTTCAATGTTCCATCAAAAGAGAGCTTTTATGCAGTCTGACATCAGGGGAAAACACAAGCTGGCTTTCCAATGCACTGCAGAGCAGCTGAGAAGGCTCTCCAAAACCGCTCCCACCTTTCCAGGGACCCTCGCTCTGAGCCAGCTACTTAATGGCATGAGCAGACATTCAGCTCTAAACTTAGGATTGGCAAAAGGCTCAGAAAACCATCAATTACATCAAAGCTACAAGGGGATCTGACTCTGGAGGGCATAAATATGGATTCTGTTCTAAGAGTTCTGGTGTTACAGTGGGGTCAGCCTACAACCTTTACAATGAACATCCTGTTCCTGCTTGACCTCTTGTCCTTTTTTTCCCCTGCTACTTAATGACTGTTTGGAGCAGTCTTGGAGCTTGAAAAAAAAAAAAATGTCCTCCAAAGCTGGCTGACGTATATTGATATTGCTGGTGGCAATATATTTACACAGCCACGAAAAGCAGCTGCTCAGCTGAGCCTGCTTTTAGCTTGTGCCCTACTAAAATGAATGCAAATCTAAAAGCACTACAAGGGGCTGAGAGACTAAAATTCCTTCAACGTGGTGGTGTGCTGGGGAAGCAGCCCCAGCAGTGCCATCCTGCAAAGCTGCTGCCAGGAGTTTGCAGCTCTTAGGGAACACTGTCTGTCCCAGCAGCAGGGGGACAGTCTGTGTCTCATCTGTCATCTCCCCCATCCCTCAGGGGTAGGAGAGAAGCACAATCTCACAATATTGTTCAGTATCACACACAGGTACCAACAGCAAGTTCATCACACACGTCTCAGCTCTTTGCTGAGCACATCCAGCTGCTCTGTACATGTTTGCTGTTACACAAAATCAAGGGGAAGCTGCATCAAACCCAAAGGCAACAGCACTAAATATCACAGCCCTGAGGCACTTTGCTGTTTAGCTCCTATTCAGAAAGGTTTACAATTCTAGTCCTTCAATCTCCCCACTTTGTTCTCAGCCCTCAAGTAATTATTGATCCAAATTTTTACATAATTTTTAATTGTTTCTGCAAAGCGTATCCCACAAAAGCAAGGCAGCAAGCAAGTGTAAAGTATGATTATTTTTGGGAACACTGAAGGAATCTCAGATGTTTCTCCAGCTTATTTGGATACAAAAACATTGTTCTCAGATGTTCAGAAACAGAAAAGAAAAAGAGATTCTGCCCAGACATGTCTGCACGTATGAAAAACAGTGTATGGAATACAATGAAATGGCTTAGGTGCCTTATTTTTGTTTTAGGATGTACAGCACTAAGTGAACAGCACTTTTCTCAAGAAATCCATTGCAAGTGCAGCAATCAGTGTGTTGTGCTGAGCAATTTTACATTCAAGAATGTGGTGGGGTTTATTTTAATTCTGCTCTTAAGAAATTCAGGGCAACGAGAACTCAGTCTTCACAATATGAATGCTAAGTGTAAGTCTAATCTCCTACACACAGATGTAGATCAACAGTACTTGTTTAAATACTGATAAAAATTAGAACACAGTGAAGCCAAATGAACATAAATATTTCACGTAATATTTACTGGAAAGTTGCAATGGGGATTTTGTCTAATGAGTAAATACAGCATGAAGCTGTTGAGTCTTCTATCCCAGGGGTAAGATAATTTGAAACACATTTTTTCAGATCAAAAGTGTTATGTTGTCAAATATAAAAGCCCAATTTAGGCTGCATAATATTTAATTAAGAAAACAGCATTCCATACTGTGATTTATTTATTTTTTTAAGTCAAATGCCCCTTGAGTCATTTTATCTTCTTAACTTTAAGATCTGTAATGCGCGAGATCATGGGAAAGGCACGATCAGCTTTATTTTCATTGCCAAAAAGAAAAAAAAAGGAAAAAAGAGAAAACCTAAAGGGAATCCTGTGAAAACCAAATCCAAACCCAAGATTTTCCAATGACCACGTAACTTGAAGCGGAGAGGGGCATTCTATGCGGGGATGGACAGCAGAGATTTGGGTCACACAGGCAGAGGGGTAAGGGGAGTTTCCAGGCTGCAGAGGAGCCAGGCAGGGCCCTGCTCACCTTGACACTCCTGTGGTGTATCCGGGAGGGCTGGCACTTGACGCTGCTGGTGTTGCAGCAGCCGGTGCAGCGCTTCACCTCCACGCAGGGCGGCCATATCAGGAAGTTGGCCGAGGTGGGGTCGATCTGGCTCCGAGGTATCTCGTAGATCACCGTCCGCGTCTTGCACACCGCCGGGATGGCCTCCTCTGCGGGCACAGGAGAGTCACAGCCCCAGGTGAGCACCCATGTGGACGAGGTACACGTGGGGCCACTGCTCCCACTCCCCACTGGTCACTGGCGAGCCAGTGCTGAGCGCTGTGTGCTCACAGCTGAGCTGTGCTGCTGCCCTGGGGACAAGCTTGACTCTCTCCCAAAGCCCAGCCCTAAAATGAGGGTTTCCAGTGGCCTGGCTCCTGACACAGCTTGGAGCACATGCCATGAGATAAGGCAGTCCTGGCTCTGGAAGTGACAGCAAGCCAGGAGTTCCTCCACATTCAATGGCCCCCTAGTACAGAGTAACTGTGACCCCTCAGAGTCACTGTGCAACAGCAGCTGTTGCTTTCCAGTTCCTCTTCACCCAAATACCATCACACAAACATGCAACACCTGGTAAACACTGCCTCAGAAGTTAAATTGTGGATTATCTGTATCATACCCAATTTGCACAGCTGGGAAACAACCTGCGCCAGCTTGAAACTTTCAAGACTTGGGTTTCCACTTCCAGAACTTTAACATCCCCACATCAGGAAGTCTGGTTTATCCACCATTCCAAAGGGCATCAAAGCTTTGTAGATGGTAGGTTTTATTTAATTTGTTATTTCTTGAATGATGCAAAACCACCAGAGCAGCATGATGGAAAAATGTGCAGTTAAACCAATATCCTGGTGGTCTCAGGTAGGGTGAGCTTGTTTAGGGTTATAAAGAGTACCTCTGTACTACTGTCTGATGCTGCCATGATCCAAACCATGTATCATCATCAACCTAGGAACTGTTTAAGAAGTCAAGCTGATATTTCAAAACAGTCCAGAAAAAAATAGCAATTTCAGGGACAAGTTGTTTGCTGATAAGTTCTCCAAAGACAGCTGGGATTTTTGGTTTTTTTGCCTTACAGTGGAAGCTTGTGATAGCTTTGGGTTAGATGTGTCAGGGAACTGGAACACTGCCTGCACTTCTTCACTTAGTTCTTAAGTACAAGAAGCTCAGGCCTAGCCTGTGCCTGCAACATGGAAATCTAGGCTTAGTTTTGAAAGATGCATCTCAATAGACTAAACAGTGTGAAAATCCTTACACTCAGCCCCCAGTGCCACGAACTCCAGAAAATTAACAGATGCAACCCTGCAAGATAGCTGGCAACTCCCACAAGTTATTGAGCACACCCAGTTCCCAGTGCCTCCCAGTGTGGTGGGGAGGCACCCAGCACCCTGCAGGCTGAGGTGCCAACGTCGCCGGCTGCTTCAGCACCGCTGCTCTCCCCAGGCAGCCAAAGCGCTGCCAACTCACACTGCAAATCCCTGCTGACTGCAAGCTGGGCTAGCTCTGCCTGCCACCACAGCTCCAAGGACAAACACACTGAATTACCCACCAGGGATAGCACCAGGGATGTTTTCCACAGGCCAGTGGAATGGTGGAACACTCACAGCTAATCAGATGAACAAGCACTGCACATAAATCCTATTTGCACGCTTCTTTTTTAATTTATATTCGGGATTTTTTGCATCCTCATCATCATTAATAAGGAAAAAATCCCCTGTAAACATGCCTGGTGCCCTACACAGTGATGGAAATCAATGCCCCAGTGTTTCCATCAATGGCTTTTAATTTTTGGGATAAACTGTATTTTTCTTGTGAATAAAAAGTCAAGCTGTTTCCTTTTGTGGAGCTTCTGTACTGAAAACGCTACCAACTGTTGATGTTTTTTAAAGCACACTGCTGTAGTTGTTCCCCACACTATGAATTATACATTGAATATCACAGCATTTTCTAACCAAGGTCTAGCTTTCCAACATGCTGCAACAAGAAAGTGAATGTAAAGAATTTGTGCATGTCTGTCTCCTATGGACATCCTCCAGAAGACAGCTTCTCAGGCAATGGCTTGTTTTGTGCAAAAAGAAGGGCAGAAGATAGAAATGGCCCTTTTTTTCCTTTGTGCATGTCACATTTTTCCAGTGAAATGTCCTGCTTGGCTGACCAAAGGCACCCTGTCTGCTTTCACTCCCCAAGTACAAATAGCTTGTTTCTTACCAATGCTTCTTTTTCTGCGAATGGGCACAGGACGGTTCTCTTGCACATGTTTAGCAGAATGAACACTGTAAGATCTCAAGTTTGTTTCTGAAACATCATCATATCCTAGAACAGGAAACAAAATGTTAAACTTCAGGTATGTTATGTGCACCAGTGTCACTACAGTGCTGTTCATAGGCACCAGACCAAATCCTGCTACAATCAGTCTAATGTAACCCCTGTTAATGCAATTGCAAGGGCATAAGGCAGGGAAGACACAGACATTGAATGTCATGTATAAGCATGCACAATTCAATTCCAATATCCATTTTATTGAAAGCCCCCAGAAACAGTGCACACACTGTGGCACAGAACCATATCTAAAGTAAAACAGTTGCATTTTTATGTGAAAGGCATAATATGGCTTGTTTTACTGGAAAGGTGTAGAAATAGGAACAATAATCCTGCATGTTTCTTACAAATATTTTGAAGTTCTGGTATGTGGCAACAGCAGAAAATATGGTATTAGACCCAACAGCAACAATGCTGCCTCTGTAAATTTTCTGTTGCTTGGTTTTCAGGGCAGTGCTAGGGCAGAATCAAAAGCAAAAAGTAACTAGCATGGGTTTCCTTTTAGCCTCTCTGTTGCAGAACAAATCCCCTGTGAAGTATCCTAACCTTTGGAGGGGCATCTGAAGCTACTGCAAACTCTGGGACTGCATCCAGGCTTGTCTTGTTCCCTAAATAAGCCTACCACATGGGTTAAAGGGCCATGAGAAAAAGCAAAGATGGAAAACTTGGCATTTCATTTATCATAAAAAACAACAAAATAACTGCTCCAACTATTTGGGTTTGTTAAGTGAAGCAGTTCAGGTCGTGTCCCATGCCGTGGGGTCTGAAAACCACAAGCACAGTCTGCAAACAGGGGATGAGGAAGAAGGAACCAAAGAGAGAACTGCACACAGACCCCAGGACACCCAAACTAAGGGATTTAGCACTCTGCTGCTTGGAGTGTCCTCTGGAACATCACTGCAGAGTTTCAAGGTTTCGCTGCTGGCTCCTAAGAAAACTGACATGCTCTAAAAAAATGCAAAAGGGTATTACACAGTACTCAATTACCCTCTCTGCAAGCTACCAACACCCTACACTCCCATCTTCTGCACTGTCACACTCCCTGCTTCCAGTTTGTTCTGTACACACAGCTGTCTGTCTCTGGAATGTGTTTTAATCTCAGCTTTATTAGTAACACACATCATAAGGCTCTGCTCCACAAAACAACCAACTCCTTTTCTCCTCCCTCCAAGAAATTGTGCCCTAAGGAACATGCAGCTTGTGAAATCACCTGCACAGCCAGGTGAGGCAGGAAGACAGCAGGATCTTCAGTACCTTAGAAAGAGTTCTGCATGCCAGGGTTTATCATTACTTTTTGGAAAATACTACTGTAAGTAGCTAAAAGAAAATAAAATCGGAGGTCCAAGAGGTAGTGCCAGGATCACCCACTGGTCCTTCCTATTCTCCTTAACAGCTGAACAGATCCTTGTATGAAATTAGTTATTAGTCTCAATTTATCCAAAGAAATTGGCTCCTAGTTCCTATCTATGGTACTTGTTTCCCATAGATTTCAATGGGAAATTTTGGAACCTGACTAATTAGCTGGTATTGGGCCTTATTTGCAGTCCCAGTCCAGTAATGTAACACGGCAATGACTAAAGGGTATTATGTCTGCTTTTATTGCACCCCATACTCCAGAAAACTCATCAGTGGTATAAATAAAATGGCTTGCCAGAGATCCCACAGGAAGTTTGCAACTGAGCTGGGGAGTGGAGCCAGGTCTCCCACATCCCATTCCAATGGCACCAGGCCATCCACCTGATCCCAAATGGTGTTATGCAAAATGAGGATCAGTTCTGATGTGCCTCCAGCCCTCTTCTGTTTCCTAGCACTCAGCCACCCAACACCTTAATACTGACCTCCTTTTTGGCAGCTTCGAGTTGTCACAACCTCTCCCTCAATTTGAGGCAATGAAGTGATACTTGAAAGCAGCATGAATTCTGCTCAGCCTGAGATCCAAGCTAGGCTGGGAGCAAGAAGCATGTCCGTGCACAAGCAAACAGTGTTTAAAAGGAGATTAAACACAAAAGTAATGCCTCTAATCTCAACTGCTTGGTGGGCACAGGCATCAGGCTGGAAAGGGAAGCTGGCAGGGCTGCCAGCACTACAGCAGGGCTGGGCCATGGCTCCTAATCCCACACTCAGCAATGCTGGCACAGCTTCCTCCTAGCACGAAGGATCCCTTGCTGCCTCCTTGAAAGAAGCTGGTAAGAACCAAAGGACTGGTATGATCAGCTAACCAGTGTGTTAAGTCATGTGCTTACAAATACCTGCTGGAATCAGCTGCAATCAGCACTTTTCCATTGCCATGTTTATAAAGCAAAATGACACCTCGAGGAGATGTGTTGCTTATGAGATGATTTCTAAGGTGAAGACGGCCTCTGGCTTATGCTGTACCTCACTGTCTCACTACATATCTTAAGCATGTACAGCAGCTCCTAAATTCATGTCTCTCTGTGAGGATTGCAAAAAGAGATCTACACAGCTAGCTCAGCAGAACAAGCTCCAGTCAAACCTCAATGTGTTATCTAACACAAATTGTATTATTTCTACCAACACATCATCCAAGTGTGGTTTAATAAACAGAACCATGGGGCATGGCTGGAGCCAGAAGACACTACAATACTAAAAAAACTTAAGTGTCCCCCCTGATTCCCACAGTCATTTGGAAGGAATTCCATTCCCCAGTGAAGTCAATGGGAAAATCAATGCACTTCAAGCAATGTTTAAGTCAACAGGAGTTGTGCCCAAGCAGGACTGAAAAATCACCAAGTCAGCTTTGAAACTCACACTTGATTCTGAATGTGTGGCCAGAACACCTCCTTTTGTTTCATTAAAACCATAATGCTACAAAGAATACTCTCTAGTTTGACTTTCAGGAAGGGTGATGCTTAATTTGTATCAGTTTTTCCCCCAATGTACTGAATTAGTTGCAGGGTGAGGATAAGCTCTTAGCAAAGGAAATGTGAGGTTTCGGGTGCTTAGCACCTCACAAAATGAGGCTTCGAGCAGAAAGCCTAGAAATGGGTGGTTCTTAGTTTAGAACTCAAACACTGCTCATCACCAAGTGAAGATGGAGGATGCTGCACAGAGCCAGATTAGTGCAGCTTTCTTTTAACATTTTAATAATAAAAAAATGTTTTCATGGCAGCCGATCAAGAAATTTCTCTGTAATCTTTTATGTACTGACAACATATCAATGATGGGCATAAAAACTCTTGCAATTAGCCTTGGTCAATCCATTAGTGTAGCTGAAATTGTTCTTTTTTGTCAGATTGGCAATTTTCCACTGGGTCATGGAATATAAATCACAGAGTTCCTGTGACATTCTGCCAATACATGATTACTCTTTTCACTCAAGAAGCATGTGGAAAGCATCCTAAGTTTACTGCTATTTTCTATTTATCAATTTATACTTTTGAATTTCCATCGTCTTGCCAAACTATTTCATATGAGGTACAACCCCCAACACATCCAGTCTTAATGCAAACCCCTCTAGATTTCACTTTGCACATCCAGAAAGTACAGATCCAAGACTTCTAGTACCAACAGCAGCAGTTTAGGAAATTCTTAAAGTCTTTTTTTTTTCAGGAATTCAATGTAAGGTACAATAAGCTGAAATGGTCTGTCTCACAATCAGTCCTAGAGCCAGAAAGCCCACAGCAACATCAGTTTGGTTTTTTGATCTTCTTTTGGACTGATGCAAAATTTGCCCTCCTGACATCCAACTGCAGAGATAGATGCCGTTAAGTTTTCAACTTTGAGCTGTTAAAGGAAATATAAGTAGCAGCTCGCAAGATCCTGTTTTGTTTAGATTGTTTTTTTTTTTACTTTACCTAGGTGAGATCAACCAGCTGTAAAGAAGGAGGAATATTCCCTCATCTGTCTCAGGAAGAAGACAGGCCACACATGGAAGATGCCTCTCATGATGTGTAAGAGGTGCAAGAGAAGCCAAAACACTGCACTGTAACATCCTCCATTGAGCACCACACCAAAACCCACAAAGTCAGGAGCTCATTTTCCAAAAGATTGAGCTCTGCAGCAGCCTAACACTTTTTCCATGGAAGTATACAGTTAATTTAGAACGTTTCTCCACTTAACAAAAGCTGCTCTGCTAGTTCTTAATCACAGGCCGTTAAATTCACATGGCCTAAGGTGACCCTGGTGGATGCCCTTAACCCGTGCAAAGAGGCACACTCAGCCCTGCCTCTCCTCATGCAGGCAGATGACTTGGGGAAAAATCTGTTCCCAGCGGGAGGCAAACATAATAGGTGATGAAATGAACTCTACCTCCCACAGGACAGATGGGAGAGGTGAAGCACGAGGAGAGAAACCACACTGCTGAGCCAGAGAGAGCTCCACAAGCAGAGCAGAGGAAATGCCCCCGTTTTGGGGATTTAGTCTGCTCGTAGTAAAACTGTACTCTGCACACTAGAGCTGCCTACTTCCTGGGACTGTGCATGCTTTCTCCTTTAAACAGGGTCAGACTCTGCTCTCCTTCATGCCAAGGCAATTCTGTCACTGCCTCTGGATCCCAATTGCAGCAAATTAATACAGGACCCTGTTTCCTGATAGGAATAGAGAATTTTCATGCTGCCTTTACCCTCTGAGTTGGACATGCAGAACTGGGCTCTGACAAACTGGCCTGGATTTTCTTTTTTGAATACAATGATAAGCTCCATGTTGGGTAGTGTTTTTCTTTAAGTAATATGCCAGATGGTCTGGGGGTGTGGTTTCTAATTTTATGAAGGGGGTTATCAGTCATCTCTGCGCTACAATATAGAGACCAAATCTGTCAGAATAGAAGAAAAACCTGCCCACTCTGACTTACAAAACTTACTTTTCCAATTAAAAATATACGTTTTGCATTGCAGGAGAGAAAATGACTGTTCTTCCTTCGTTTTCCACAGATTCCGCCTTGTTACTCAGGAATATCAGACATTTTCTTCATGCATGCCTGATCCTGCAAACTCTTAGCCTACAAGATCATTCTTAATTCCCAAGTCCACCCACTGAGTTTAAACAGGGCTACTCACATGCAGAAGGACTGGCAATACCATGCACTAAAATGAGGGAGAGAATAGTCACTGGAGTGATTTTGTTCTAAGCCTCAGCTGAAACTGAGTACATGCTATAAAAGTGAAATATACCTACTGTACAAGCCCTCACTGAACTGGCTGTTCCCTAAAGGCAATTGCAGCCCTAAGGAAATAAATTTCAGAAATATCATCTTACCAGGGACAACGAGAAAACATTTGATTTGCTAATTCAAGCTAATACTAAATATAGTAAACAGGCCTGATCCTGTTTACTGAGGAAAGCACAGCAATTTCAATACTCGATTAGTCACTCTGATAAGACTTTAGTAAGAATTACTCATGCCAGTAAAGTCTGCAGGACTGTGCCCAGGAAAAGCAACTGTGGGTAGTAAAGCAGGGTTACTCCATGAGAACCCAACCATGAGTAGCTCAGAGCACAGCTTAGCACACAGGCAAAAGCAGCACTCACATAAGCAAGAAGCGGGTGAAAGGCTGAATATTTTGGTTTTATTTTTTAATATTGTTTGAGTTCATGTCTTAAGGAATTAGTGTTTCACAGTGAGATAGTAAAATATTTATGTCTCTTGTTTCTCTAATGGTTTCTAAACTGACAAATTGCAAGAAAACGGCAAAAATGAAATGGGTAAACTTGTGGCTGACCTTCTCCATTTTTGGTCTTGCATCCTCCAGTTAATATTTGCCATGAGATAAATAATTATTTTCTGAAATAAATTTCTTAGCTACATCTACCCATTTATTCAGCTCCTGCCGTTACCCCACTTGTCTGCCTGATTCACTTGCAATGGAGCCACGTGAACTTTTGCTCTCCTTCTAAGTGGTATTTAAAAATGAAGCATGTGCTTGTTACGCTGAGGTATTTGAAAAAATAATGTATTCTGGTAGCTACAGAGCCCTGACTCAAAGGCAGGAGCAGTATGCACTATTTTAAAATGCTAGCACTCAGATCCAGCCCTTCTGCAACAGCAGCCAACTCCACCAAGTTCACTGGGAAAAAGATTTTAGCAGTAGTGCACTTGTCTGGTCCAAAACAGCCTTCAGTGAGGAAATATGAACTGCACACCCCTTCCCAGATGTGAAAGTTTCTTTAATTGTGGTGATAAACAAGAGTGATGAAGCACTGCTCTCCAAAAATACTAAACCAATGCCAATCTGGTAATTACTAATTAGCCTCTATGGTAAAGTGTTGTGCAAGACAGAAATACTCCCATTTTCAGTGTAATGGGAAAACGTTGGCTCTCTAATCACATGAAAATTGAAAGCTATGACTACAAAATACGCTCCTAGTGCATTCCTGCTCGTTAATAGAGCGCTGCACAAAAAGCAGAGAGTTAAACTCTAGAAGGATCCTGCTACTCTGAATGAAGGTGATTGAACCTGGCACAGACTTTACAAAAATACACAGCATATGGTTTAAAAGGAGATGGCCCAGTACCAATGCAAGCAAGAACTCATTCATTTTTCTCCATGTTTGTGCTTCAGCAAGATGCAGGCTTCCCCTGGGCACATCAAAGGTGCCGGGGTTTATTCTCGCTCTCTACTGAGAGAAGAAATCACCAGGAACAAAGTGCATCAAGTGAAACCAAATGATAAGGAACCCAGCAACACCATGCTACTAGATCACATTTACTGCTGCAACGATCTGTTAAACTGCACGTTCTCACTACACCCATTTGCATGCCTAATGATGCAGAAAATAACCCTGCACTATTTTCTTTTGAAAAAAAGAAAAAAAGTGTATTTTTGAGGGTAAGCTTCATATGCAAGTTTCTGTTTAAAATCAGTGCGGACCGTTTATTTTCCTTTTAATAAAGCCCAGCACTTGAAGAGACATTACTTCATTCATAAATATTGTTTCAAATATTTTAAATACCTCTAGGACAGTAGTTTAAAGATAACAGAGCAATGCAAGACCAACAACAAACCTTATGGCAATTCTTCTCCGCTGCGAGACGGAGAGAGCTCTAAAAACACGGGGGGGTCACAAGGTCCCTCTCCACCCTGAACCCCACGAAGTTTTAATCCCCGATCGGCCCCTTGGCCGCCGCCTCCCTGTGACACGGGTCCCGGGGCCGCCCGGCTCTCGCTGCGGTGCCCGCACGGGTGCCTCGGGCGAGGCGTGCGGGGAGCGCGGGGCGTGCGGGGCCTCCCCCCGGGGCGGCGGCGGCCGACGGCGCGGAAGGAAGGAGGACGGGACTAATTTACCTACGGAGTCAATCTCCAGGAGGCGCTGCAAGTCGCGGATGCTGTGGATCTCGCTGTGCGCCAGCCGCTCGATGAGCTCCTGCGGGATCTCGGCCTCCTTCAAAGACACACACACCGCGGGTCACCGCGCAGTCCCGCCCGCAGCGCCGGGCATCCGGCGCGCCGCGCCTCTGGGCTTGCTGGGGAGGGTGCGGGGTGTTTGCGAGACATGTGGGGATGAAGCAGGGGGAAAATCCACGCGCACATCCCCCCACAGCGCTCCGCGGGGCGCCGGAGCGCTCCCGCCGCCCCCGCCTGCGCGCCCGCGGGGGCTGCGCGCCGCCCGCCCGACTGCGCCACGGCTCAGCGGGGCGGCAGCTCCGCACGGCCCCGCCTGGCAGCGTGTGCCCGGCAGCGCCGAGCCCCGAGCCCCGGCGGGCGGCTGGAGCACACCCCGGGCAGCGGCTGCCGAAGTTCGCCCGGGCGGGTGCCAAGTCCCCCGCGGGCGCGGGCTCCCCCGAGCCGGGCAGCAGCAGCAGGAGGAGGAGGAGGAGGAGGAGAACCGCGTCCCACGGGGCGCCGCCATCCTACCAGCGCCCACGTCGCGGCTGCCAGTGCCAAGCAGACCGGGTCCCGGGAAAAGTTACAGCCGCTGTGCAGCGCCGAGCACCGCGCTCGCCCCGACCGGGACCACCTGTAGCAACCCCGGGACGCGGCTCCGCGCCCCCTCCGTCCCCTGCGGGCAGGCGGGCGGGAGAGCTCCCGACCGCTCCGGGGGAGATTCACAAACCGGGGAGCGGCGTTTTGGGGCGCGGGGGATTCACCCAAGTTCTGCCCGCGGCACTAGCGGTGCCCGCGGCCGCCGTGTGCAGCGCTGGGCGCCGCGGGGGCGGCCCGGCTCCGCGCACCCTCGGCTTCCGCACAGCCGCAGCCCGCTGGCACCCGCGGGGCGTGGATATTTTATCATATATTTATTATATATATATATATTTATATATTCTATATTATATACATATTAATTCTTAAGGGTGGCCAGCAGCCCGGGCGCGGAATGCACGGTCATTCCCCTTCGCTTCTGCCATGCATGAAATGGCAACTTGCTGCCAGGCTCGGCCGCGCAGGGCCCGGGGCAGGGCAGCGCTCCCGGCGGGGCCGGGGCGCGGGGATGCCCGCGGAGCCCAGGTGGGCAGCCCGCTCCCTCCCCGGTGCCCTCCGCCGCGGCTCGCCCCGACCCCCGGCTGCGGCGTGCCCCGGGGACCGGCAGCGCAGGAAGCCGCTCTCACCTACCTCGCAGAAGGTAAAGGACAGGTACCCAAAACCTATCAGCAAAACGCAAGCCCAGGTCCTCATCGCGGTCTAGTGCACTTTAGACACGGAGGGAAGGCAACGCTGATGGAGAGGGGCTGCAGGCCGGCTCCTGCCGCGCAGGAATTCAGTACCATCCCTCAGGGGAAAGGCAGCGGGGTGGCTCGGGGGTCCTCCGCATCCAGGGTGGGTCGGGGCTGCCCGGGGCGGCGGTGGCTTAATGACGGCGCGGCCGCTGTTTGTACGTTCCCCTCGCTACGGGAGCGTGGCTGCTCTCCCTTCTGCCGCTCTCGCTCGCTCCTCTTGGCTCTTAGGACTAGACCAGCCGGTACTTCTGCATATTTGCTTAGATCAGACCAAAGTGAAACCCAAGGAGTCGATCCGGAGCGCAGCCGAAACGCCCATCACCTGTCTGGGGCGGCTGCCCCCCTCGCGCGGGCGGCGCTGGGGCCGCCTCCCCCCGCCGCGGCCGCCGCTCCGCGCCGCGCCGGGACCGCGGGGCTGCGCTCTCCGCCGAGGGCCGGCCCCCCCCGCCGTGCCTGCCCTCCACACCCGGCCCCTCCGCGGAGAGGGGAAAAATCAAAAATCTTTATTGATAAGGAGAGAAATGTTTCTCTTGCCGAGAATGGTCCCGCTTCCCTCCCCGGCTGGGGCGAGGTCAAAAAATAATAATTAATTAGGAATAATAGCAGGGACAAATCGGAGCGGTATTGCAGGATCTCGCGGGCTGCCTTGGTGCAGTTCCTGCTCCACTTTGCACGGGAGAAAAAGACGGGAGGAGGAGGAGGAAGGAGGGGAAAAAAATATATATAAGCAAGAAGGTTTAAATCCCAAGGGGATCGGAGACGAACTGCAACTCCAGGCAGAGGGAGGCTCGGGGCTCGCTCCGGAGCGGTGGCCGGTCTGGAGCGTGGCCCCGGCGAGGAGCAGCATATACCGCTCCCGCCCTGCCGTGCGCCGCCCCCGCCCCTCCTCCCGGGTACTCCCGGCACCAGACCCACCAACAACAAGTCGTGGGGGTGCCGGCAGCTGCGGCGCCTGCTCCAGGGCCAGGGGCTCTGCCCACTGAGAGGGGAAAACAAGGAGCCGGCGGCGGGCAGGGGTCGGGGGGAGCGGGGCAGCCCCCGCCGCCGGCCCTCTGCGGCACCGGGCGGAGGGGCGGGCGCTGCTGCGCAGCAGCCGCCGTGTAACCTGGCGGGCTCGGCCGTGTGCTCTGCCTTTACATAAGGCAGAGCGGATCGCCATGGCCACGGCGCGATCGTGTGTGCGTGTGTGTGTGCTTTCTTATCGTTGTTATTCTATTTTAGCGGGGGGGCCTTGCCTTTTGCAGAAGGGGAGTGGCAGAGCGGCGGAGGGTTGTGGTGTGCGGGTTTTAACGTTGCCGTTGCAGCGCAGCCTTCATTGCGAAGGACGACGCACACGCACAGCCTTAAGGAATACAAAAGCACCCCCAAACTGCACGAGAGGCAGGGGGGGGCGGTGCGGGCGGGGGGCAGCGGAGCCCTCCGCCCTGCGGCACCCGGCTGCGACATGCGCGGGCGCGGGGCTCCCCGCCGCGGCCGCGGGGACGCCGCGCCCCGGGGCTCCGCCGCAGCCGGACCCAGCCCTCGCAACTGCCCCGGCTCCCCGCAACTGCCCCGGCTCCCCGCAACTGCCGTGGCCCCCCGCAACTGCCCCGGCCACCCGCAACTGCTCCGGCTCCCCGCAACTGCCCCGGCCACCCGCAACTGCCCCGGCTCCCCGCAACTGCTCCGGTCCCCGCAACTGCCGTGGCTCCCCGCAACTGCCGTGGCTCCCCGCAACTGCCGTGGCTCTCCGCAACTGCCCCGCTCTCCGCAACTGCCCCGGCTCCCCGCAACTGCCGTGGCTCCCCGCAACTGCCCCGCTCTCCGCAACTGCTCCGACCCCCGCAACTGCCCCGGCTCCCCGCAACTGCTCCGGCCCCGCACCCCGCACCGATCCTCCGCAACCGCACCCGAACCCCGCAGCCCGTCCCGAACCCCGCAGCCGGCCCCGACCCGGCCCCGGCGCTCCGCGGGGGCAGCTCGCGTTCCCTTCGCGTCCTCCCTCCTCGCCGCCCCGGAGAGAAATTGCCCCCGTTCACCCGGCGCGGATTGGCACAAGGTGCCTGCTGCACCCTGACATCTCCCTGAACTCATTGTGATTTAAATAACAGCCCTTTCTCATCTAAACAAAGGTTCTTAATAGCAGATGCAAAGAATTCAGCTCATCTGAAAATCCAATAGCATTTAAGTGGATTAACTGCAATAACACAACTGAGGAGTGATACTACCCTTCATGGAAGACAATAGACTGTAAATGCACAGCCAGGGAGACTTATCCTTTCATCTCTGAATTTCCTTCAGCATTTCAAAAGCGAATGCTTTCTCGAAGCCCTGAAGGGGTTTGCACGCTACTGGCTTGGACATGCTTCTAGGAAACAACCTGTGCTTTAATGGGCACTTTGCAATTGCATAGAAGTTCCCACCAAAACAGAAGTGGCCTTTCAAGTACGTTTAATTCTCTCTCATGATGTCATGTAGGCTTACAGGGTGGTCTCCAGGACCACAAGGGGGAAAAAACAAGGTGGGGGTTGAAAAGAGAGAGAAAAGGAAAAGAGATGTAAAAGATTTGGAAGCACTTTAGAAAGGAGAATGCTGCTGCCTTTTTTTTTTTTTTAAGACAGAAAATGCTGAGCCAGTGTGGAGCCATTCTCAAATGCCTCCTGATATAAAAAAATGACCCGAGTGCCACACTGCAGCAGAGCTATCCATGCAGGGCAGGAGGAGGCAGAGCAGGGCAGGACACTCTGGTAGTGCCATCACTTTCTTACATGGCAGAAGTAAAAAGCGATTACTTCAGTTTAAAAAAAAAGTCTCATCTGCACAGTCTCATTTGCTGGGGTTAAAGAAGCAATTCTTATGGTCCGTGTTGTCATAGTAATAAAAAAAATAATTACTAAACAGTGAAATAGATTCTGACAGTACCGGCTGGCTGAACATTTACTCCTCTCCTTCCTTCCCTGGTTGGCTAGTGCATTTGGGATCAGAAGTGCTGTAGATTTGTAGCTCTTGCTAGTGGTATTTCACTGCAAAAGCCAGCAGAGATAACTCCTGCTTTATCTTATGGTAAAAAAAAAAAAAATCTATGCAGTTTTGATCTTTCTTATATTTCCCTCGTTTTACAAGAGAAATACTGCATCAGCATCTTTTTTTAATCTGTCATTGTGGAGCTCAGATAAGCATCTTTCCTCTGGGTCAAGTTACACTTGGAGTAGCTTTTAACATTAGACTGTTTATAGGGATCATTACAAATATTTGATAATAATGCAAAATATGTAAGATCCCAGAGGAGAGCAAAGACCAGGAAACATAAATAAAATTCACACAGATTCTGCAAACAACTTTATACTTAGGTTGTCTGTCTGCTTACAAAACACATTTTGTCCTTGTCTATTGTTTGATCTAAAATTGCATTTGTTGCCTCTAAGTCCCTGCATGCAGCTGTGTGAAAAACAAAACATCAGTGCATATTTGCTTCAGCATGGCACCTTCCTGCACATCTATTGCACATGTGTGCACCAGACATGAAATATCACCTTTTATGCAATACCCACAAGTCACACATGAGGAAAGAGTGACAGCATGGTAGTTACAGGTTTAAAAGGAAATCAGTACCAAGAACAGAGTGTCAGAAAATTAAATTTTACACTTTTTTATTTATCTGAGAGCAGCGAGCAAGATATTGCCTGTCTAATTTAAAGCACGCACTGTTAGAAGTCTCTCAAATGTCAGGAATTATAATAGAATTACACCATGACAGAGTGTTGAGAGGGAGGATTCCCAGGGTTTGCACAGCACTTGGCATGGGGGAAGGGATGCAGAAGCTGACACGAAATGAGACCACTTCAGTGTCACTAGAGCTGCTTTCTGAGTGTGGAGTCACCTGAAGCCAGGGTGCCCCAAATCGGGCTTCCAGCACCCACTACAGAGCTCGTTTAAATCTCTGCTGGCTCAGCTCTTAGAAACACAGGCCAGGCAATGTAACAGGACCAATTGATGTTTCACAGATTCACACTGGGGCTGGGGGAAGGTCCCTGGGAGAGGTGCAGCCAGGGATGGCCAGCAAGGTGGGCATGGTGGTGCTTGGAGGGGGCTGAAGCCACGGGGGCACTGGGGTGGCTCTGAGGTGGTACCTGAGGCCCAGGGCATTGATTTCAGAGCTCAGGCTGGAACAATGCTTGTTTGACCCTCCCGACACGTCTTGAGGTTGCAAGAGGAATCATTTCATTGCAATGACATTCTTTGGGAAAGCTGAGTTTTTTCTAATTTGATTTTAGTGGGGTTTTTGCCTCATAGATAATCCAGTTAAAATTAACATAACAATGGGTTTGGGTAAGGGTTTTTGTTGGAAGAGTGGCCTGCTTTTATTGCAGTGTGTGTTAGGGGCTGGCCAAAGCTGCTCAGTGTGTTCTGCAGGGTACATCCTGCCACCACATCTGTCCTGGCTCTGGAAAGGAACCATAGGAAATACTCTCAGCAATTTGGACCTGCACCATTCTGTCAGTGCCCCACAGTGTATAACAAAGGATAAAAGTGCAGAACATAAAATCCAGAAAGCTGGACAGGAAGATCACCAACTTTGGGTGGTTCCTCTCTGGATTTGAACATTTTTTTGGCCTGTAGCTTCAGAAGGGCATGTGGCCATGGTGGGGGGAGGGCATTTTCCTGCTCTGCAGCTCAGTTGCTGCCTGCCTGTGGAAAGGCACGAGGCTGGCACAGGCGCAGGTGCAGGGCAGGCAAGGATTACAAATGCAGTAGGCACTGATGGCAGACACACCATTACCATTCCTGAATCTCAGCCCATCAAGAGCAGCAAGGAAAGCTGCAAGGAGAGCAAGCAAGGCTGTTATTATTCCAGCTAGTGCACCTACAAACATGATTTCCTTCTTTTCCAGCTCTTCCTTTTGGATCCTTGCACTGGCTCAGTCCTTCTGGCTAAGCTTTGTTATCTTTGTAACTTTTGTTGGTGCAGCTTTCCAGATGCTTTCACAGTTGATAATTTTCTTAAATAGTCATGAGATGCAAATCTGCTACAAGATTTCAGCTAAAAGGAGTGATCAGAAGTGGTGTGGAAAGATGTTACGATGTCTCTGCCCCAAACACAGAGGGTGGTTGTGGCCAGCATCCACTTATGTGGGTTGACACTTAAAGCTACAATATTTCTGGAGACGTTTTGCTCTGCTATGAATGGGGCAGGGTCCCTGTTGAGCTGATCTTCCACCCAAAATTGCCCTTTTGACTTCGGTGGGGGTTAGATCCAATTGTCCCTGGAGTCATTACTTGGTTTAATAGCCAAGAGACACAGTTA